AATTACAGTTATTATAACCTCACACGCTTTAAAAAATACAAAACTTGACAGTAAATTTAAACGAATAAATAGTTCTCATGCTGTATTCCAAGGTATCATGATAAAATTACGAAATTTTGCAAACTTTTGTCACTGATTATAAAATTATATTCTTTTGTTATTTTATAAAATTCATAAAACTCAGCGCTTCCGTAAACGTCACTGAGCATTTTGGTATTAACATATAGCCTGAAACTAGGTATATTTTTAAATACTCTAGAAGTTTTGATCATACTTCATTTTCAGTGTAACTTATCATAATTAACAGCTAGTGTGAGTCAGCTAATGCAATTTCATATAACTTTCTGCTTTAATTTTTTTATAAACTCAAAATATTAAGACCAGGAACAGCTTTCTGAATGAATGATACATATAAAAATTCATTTGCTTATAAAAATTGAAACGAAAAAATTTCAATTTATCTTTTTAAACACATATTTGAATTGAAACAGTTTATTTAAGCTTTACATCCTTATTTCCATACTGATTTAACTGAAAAGAAATTCAAAATTCTTTGTCTGACCTGTTTGAGACAAACAGAAATTCAATACTTGAATCCCTACGTTACGAATATTTGATAGTTTTGTGTTTAGTATACAACAGGGAATACATGCCAAAGAAAATCGGAAATATAAAACTTCACTACTCGAAAAAAAAACATTTCAAACGGTCACAGAAACTACAAAGATTTTTTTAAAAATAATTTTATTAGTAAGCGTGCAATTCCTTTCAAATAAATATATATTGAAATTCAGAACAAATGGTAGAATAATTTTATTTTTTATGCTATAGTAAAATGGATTTTAAACCTTGAAATGAAATACAATGTTCTCAGTGACATAAAAACATGTTTTAAATGGTTCTGGTCATTTGCCCTGCACTCGGCTGCCCGACAACTCAAAAGGCCGACTTCATTTTCTCGACAGTTAATTTGCCCGACAGGTAAGTGTGCCCAACAAATCATTTTTCCGACATACATTTGCTCAACAATGTATTCTCCCAACTATTTCCTGTGCCCAATAAATCATTTTTTCTACATGTACTTTTGCCCGACAATGTATCTCCCAACATTTTCATGTGCCCAACAAATCATATTTCCGACATGCACTTTTGCTCAACAATGTATTCTCACAACATGCCCGACGATTTATTTTTCCGACAGGTACATTTGCCCTAAAGTGCTAGCATGTAAGGGATGAGAATAGTTTTTTTCGTTGTTGTTAGTTCTCGTTATTGCTCATATCATATTGCTTACTGTTGTTAAAAACTATTTTAAACTCACTATATACTTTATTACTTAATTTCACTTTCTGTAAATTCATATTACTATAACATGTTCATGGAATATGTGGAGAAATAATTTGATTTCCATCTTGCACATTGTATGAGTTAGCGATAATTTTCAACCATAAATCCCATGTTAAAAAGATAAAAGATGCAAATTATTTTTATAGTTAGTTACTTTTTATTATTTTACAACTCTTTTCTGATTCTTTGTTTCAATTAGTATTAAGTAATTAAAGGCTAAATATTTTATAAAAATACACAAGATAAGTAATTAAAATGCATTTACAGAGTACTTTGACTTGACATATAAAGATGTAAATATTAAAAATGAATTATTTCAAATGCATTATTTTGTTTATTACTCAATTTACTTTTGTTTTTAAAATAATATTTTAACTAGGATTTATTAAAACTGAACTGCATTTGTGAAATATCTGCAGTTTGGAAGCATCAGCCGTATAATATTATACAGTACAATATTTTACAACAATTTTATAGTAATATTTATTTAATTAGAGTGATTTCGGGATTTTAGGGTAAGTATTACAGAAAAATTGGGTATATCAGATTTTTTGTTCCGTAACATGTAACGGTAAAAAATACTTTTCTCCGTAGTTTGATCCGAAATTTTTACTGAATTAATTTCAAATATCTAATAAATCTTCAAAAAATTAACAATTATCATTGATTTTTAACAAGTTGTTGATTTTCTAATTAACTTTTATTTAAAAAAATATTACATGAAATAAAAGGAGCTAAACAATTAAATGCTTTTACAGAGATTTTTTTTAACGCAAATATTTATAACTAACGTTTGAAATGAAATATATCAAAAACACTACATTGTTAATTTTTCAATTTCGCTTTCTGCAAAGTAGCATGTGAAAAAATAATAAAGTATTTACACACATACTCGGACAAACGGTTTCATTTTATCAATAAAAATCGTACGAGTAAATAATGAATTTCAAGCACTTAATCAACTCTTACAAATGTAACAATAAAGCATCAAAGGCGTTTCAAAACATAAATAAATAGATGTTTTAACTTTTAGATTCACATAAAATTAATACATACACACAGAAACTTTGGAAACATTAGCTGAACACTAAGAAAAGAGCTTTTACGTGATAAGGAAAAAGAACATTAACATTTTTCAGCTTATTTTTTTGTACTACGTTCTTATTGTTCATGACAGTTTTTCTTTTGATATAAGAAGAAAATGACGCTTGTTTTTGACTGCCGCTTTCAGAAATAAAACATCTTAAGTTCTTTAGGTTCGCATTTATCATTCTGGATTCTTCATAAGCCGAAACAGTATCCATGGCATGAAAAACTATTTGCATTAAAACTTTTTTTATGTTTATTTAAGGAATTTTGTGGCTGGTGAAGTTTTGTTACAATATATATTTATTTCTTGATGGCATTTTTTAACTTAGTTTTCTATTTTTTTTAAAGTTTCATATTTTTTTTTATCCTACTATTGTAACATATAGTTGTTTTTGCTTGCCTTTTCAAGCTTTCTAAAAATGTAAAAAGTATGTGATTCATATATTTTTTAAGAAATTTCTTTTAGTGAGTTATTAAAACTAAATCATAAAATAGATCTAACGCGTTTAATTCACAAAATTATCCATTAATTCTTTTAAACTACTACATTGGTACTCCGTTTTAAATGTTTTCATAAATTTTATTAAAAATTTACCCAATTTTTTAAAAAAATACGTATGAAAATTAATTTAAGTGGAGTCATATACGTTATTGTTTCTATTTTTTGGTGACGAGGACTTTTTCACTCTTTTTAGAATGAAACATTATTTCAAATGTGAAGCAACATGGAGGGAAAAAAAAGGTTAAGTTACAGTAATGTATGCTAATGTCATTTCTGGAGAAAAAAACCTCCAAAATTCTGATAATAAAAATCACAATTATACAGCTCACTTGGTAACTTTTCCGTTCATATGGTAATGGTTTGCGAGAAATTTCTGGTTTTAAAAATTATAGTTCTTATTACCACACATTTAGTAAAAAATGCAAAACTGAAAAGTAACTGGTTTTTATGCCATGCTCTGAGGTATCATGATAAAATACCTTTTGAAATATTTACCACATTTATACAATTTCATCACACATTATAAAACTATATTTTGCTGTTAATTCTTTTGGAATCATCATCAAAGCGCTTCAGTAAAAATTATCGAGTTTTTTGGTGTTCCCATAAAGTCAAAAACCTGATAAAATTTATCATGACTTAAAATTTTTGATTATGCTTCTTTTCTGAGTAAACAATATCCTAAAATTACTTTTCTGACATAAAAATTGCTCGAAATTTAAACGAAAGTTTTTGTTCACACACGCAGTTGAATAGATGAAATAAAACAATATTTGTTATAAACAATATTTGTTACATATATATTCTAAACTAAACTCAGTGGCCTCGACAGCCCATAGAGGGCCAAGGCCTACTGTGCCCATCTCAGTTTTCTTGACCTTGGGCTCTGGTGTGCAGGAGCAGATGTTCCGGTCAGGTGGACAGCCGAACGCGGAACCCCCAGTGTTTAGTTCCCAAGCATGTTTGGTACTCATGCTTGGTTAACATTACCATACCATATGATACTCATTTATCGACCCACTGAAGGGATGAAAGGCTGAGTCAACCTTGCTCGGCCCAGGATCGAACCAGAGACCTGAGGCACGACAGCGAGAAGCGCTACCGCTCAGCCACCGGGCGCCTAAATATATATTCACTTCTCCGTTTATTTTACTAATTTACTAAGCGGAATAAAACTTTATACTGGGTATACCATTCTTATATTAATTTCTTATTTCGTTAAAAGATTTTTCAAGAATGCCTTTGAAAAGTACTAGTATAAGCTTAAACTCATAATTTAAAAAGTAACAAAATGTCGTGTATTGACGATATTCACAAAGTTCTCAAAATAACATTTTTGAAAATCTCTGTTCCTTACCCTCACAGAAACGATTGCACTTTCCAGTTTCAAACGGTTTGCTTTAAAATTTATAGTGTAATTTTGATTGATTGTATGTTGGATTTCTTTATACTAACTATAGATATACTATATCAGTTAAATAATAAAATCAAGCTGAAAATAAAACATGAGTTACCATTTATTGAATCAGGAACTATAAATGTGATCAGAAACTACTTCGTACCGCGAAAACTATTGTGTTTGAAATTGCATTAATTTTTAAACATAATTGAGCAATTTTGAGAGATTTGACAATATATTTGGGTTCTTAAAACAGGTTTAACCATATATTCCCGATATGGGATTTTCCTAAATTCATAAGAATAAAATTAATTCTTAAAAATACTTTGAATCTAACACGAAAAAGTTCTAGAAATTCTTAAAAAATAATATGATTTTTATAGAGTTTTCTATAACACTAATTAAACAAATCAAACTAATTATATTCAGATGTGTTTTTTAACAGTTTCAGATATCTGAATAGTAAAAGCTGAAATCGCTGCATTGATTTATATAGCTAAGCAGAAAATTAAAGTATATTACTGCATAACTTTAATTTTTAAATTCAATTTTACTTCTTCTCAACTTATGTAAATAGAGAAAATTTTCAATGAAGTCTCTTTGGTATAATTGCAATTATTAAAAATTTTATACTTATTTTTAATGCATTTAAAATTTACTTACAGCCTTCAGTGTATTACTTTCAGCTTCCTCTGCCATTTGAAATAAGGACAGGGGCATCATAAAATAACCCTGCCATTTGCAATCTAGATAAATTTGCATTCTTGACAGGTCATCCGGGGAGCTAGGCGTTACATGAAGGTAAAGACCACGATGATAACTACTTTCACTTAAGCCTTCAACAGGTAAATGCTGCATTCGAACTCTGCCCCATTCTTTGGTGGCGACAGTAACTGAAAAAAAAATAGATTATTTATTTGTGGTTTCAAAGAAATACTGCTAACTTACAAAATTGTTCATGTGCAAATGATTTTTGTTAAATCAGAATTAATAAAAACAATGTTTTTTTAAATCAAAAACTAGCTAAATCATAAAAAAAAAAAAATGGAAATTAAAGGCTGACTTTAAAATCTTTAAGCAAAACCACTTGTGAGAATAAATAAAAAAAAAAAACAATATGAATAAAATACAAATAAAGAAATGGTCAGATTATACTTTCGATTCAATAACCAAGAACATTCCTCAGCGTTTAAACACAAAATGGCAGTAGAAAAGGAAGGAGACTAACACGAGTTAAGTGGTTTTACCAGCAGTAGAAAAGGAACTCATTCCTATACTGTAAAAAAGTTCAGGATCAAGTTACGTTAAAAGGTATTGACACCCTGCGTGCATCATCCATAAAATTCATTTTACTGTAAGAATCATTTTTACCATAAAATTTTATACCGTAATTTCTACAGTATCATTTATTTAATTACAGTGATTCAGAGGTTTTGCAGTAAATATTACTGTAAAAATTACGATAGATCAGATTTTCTTCTCCGTTAAATTTCACGCTAAAATCTACTGGCACCCTGAGTGCCGATACTTTTTATCGTAATTTGTGTATAACTTTATAATTGTGTATAATTTTTTACTGTGTATAACTTTATTTGTGCTTTATTCAAGTTGTTTTGCTTTATTAATACATAGCACAAAGTATACCTTATCTCGTTGAGACTTGTCGGAATGATTGAAAATTTAACCTGCGTATTCAAAAAGAGAGATGAAAGATATGGTATAAGAAAAAATAGTTAAAAACATCAACAGATGGCGCTTTAATATGCAACAGTCATGATATACAAAAGTACAATAGCATAATAAAACTTATTCAGATGCATTTTGAAATTGATTGGGTTAAAAATCATCCCTTTTCAACAGTTACGACGCCAAGATCTCTTGACCTTGATACACGCTATTCCTGACAGTAGGTTCATTTAAGAAATGTTCTTTTTCGTTAGTTTGGCTGGCATTGTCCGACACGCTCATATTGTCACCTTTTATATAGTTCAATTTGTTGCGGAACATGAGGTCTTATGGTTATTAACTTGTGGCAAAAAATAGTGATCAACATAATGAGCATTTCCTGATAAATCTCGAAACTGTTAAAAACTATTTTCTTTACTGCATTTTTTTGTCTGTTTTTGGCATCATGGCAATAAACAAACTATTCAATTGTTGCTTTTTTCATTTCATTTCTTTCGATTTTAATGTTACCGTTAGCCATTGGCATCGCAAGAACCCAGTATTTGAAGGGGACGAAATTAAGCTACAGTCACTATAATTTTTTGAATTTCACTCATTAGAAATTTATTTTTCTTAAACGTGGTAAATACTGGTCAAAAAACTGCCCTCTTTCTCTGCGAATACACAGGAAAAATTTCAGAAATTTTGGTTAGTGGTTTTTTGTTTTTACTTCTCTTCCTTAATTATAATTACTCTTTACTTACATGAAAGTTATTAATTTTTTATTACTTAGCATTATTATAATTAATTTTAGTATGTATCTGATATAGCAATTAATCTATCAATGTTATTTTGTGTTTTTTTTTCTTCAGAAAATTGAATAATTCTGATTTTTTGGGTTTAAGGGGGAAACCACCCTTGTCGGTTGATCAAATTATCAGTATAAAGTACACGTTGGAAGATTAAGTTCAACAAAAACTCTTACCCCGTTTTTCTTAATACTACAACATAAATTTAATTTATAAAATAGTACATATTTCTTATAACGATGAGTATTTGTTGATTTCAACACAAACCTAATTAATATAAAGCTTTGATAACATACTTTGGTCAGTTAGATTATACAAATGAGTTGAAACTCAAATCGGGATAAACGATTAATGTATCCGGAACATTGTAATCATTACATCAAATATTAATGTATTAAAATAACCATGAGTAGTGTATTATAATGTTTCAATGCAGATAATATTGTTTCGAATTATGTTCTCAAATAATTTGTTGCAAATTCATATGAATTCAATATTGGTTGTAGAGACAGATTAGAATAATTGAAATGTAGTAATGCAACTCGAAATCAATTCATATGTAAATTTAACTCTAAGCAACTTGTTAAGCTCAGAGGCTCTTAACAAAAACTACTTTAGTTACGAAATAATTAGATTTTACATAAAAAAGTAGAATGTTCATAATAAATTTTAAATTCTAAACCGAAAAATATGGAAATACATTTTGCACAAAAAAAGATGATAACCAAAATATTTAACAACCCTATCAGCAAAATAACTTGGGCCTTAATTGGACCAATATTCACGAATCTTGGCTCAATATGGGTTCAAAGGACCGTTATTTTCTGATATTGGCCATGTATACAATTGTCCGATTTACCTAATATTTTACAGCCATTTTAATACCAATATCGGCCTTACATAATTTCAGATTATCTTGATATTTGATATTCATTATTCAGCCAATATAAACCCTATATTTGCCATATATTGGACTATATTGGCCCTATATAGGGCCGACATTAAAAAATCTAGTCATCCCACTATTGGTACCCTCAGTGCATATTCATATAGGACTCATATTGATCCAATTTTGAGCATAACTGGTACCAAGGTAAAATTGTTGCTATGGAAGTTTCATAAACAATATTATAAAAGCAAAACTAAACAGCACAAAACATAAAGATAGCTAAAAAAATACATCATATTGGAATATAATATCATTAAATGTTTGTCCCTACTTTAATTTTTGTCTCACATAGAACAGAAAAATTAAAGCTGAAAACAAGATGAATAATATATTGGCAGATTTCTAAGTAATCGATGCAGAAAAGTAGTTAGCAAAGTAAGGTAATATTTGATAACTCTAGCAAAACAGGCAGTTCGCTCGCATGTAGGTATATTAGAATGCGTCATTGATAACCCTTGGAAGAATATTACATGTGATGATGATGTATATAGTGTCATTTATTTTTGCTAACGCATATTTCTTTACCCAACATATGTATAATCAAATCACTAGTTTTCTCTATTCCAGAAAAAGAATCATATTAACTTTGACAAAAAAAATTATAAAAATTGATGACACGGAAAACTTTGTATAAGCGTCACAAATTAGCTAGAATTTGAAGAAGAAAAGAGATTTCGCTGCATTGCAATATTTTTTACTTGTTCTTGCGATTTTTAAAGAAACATCCTCCAATGTTTTGTTGTTTGTTATTAGATTTTATTTATTTATATATTTATTTGTATTTCTTAACAACGGGCTTAGCCTGAGGTATTAGAAATAAACTATTAATGGGACTTACTGAAAACGACGAAATAAAAAATTAAACTTAATTTTATTACTTATGCTTCAGGAATCTCGAAAAACAAAACTTTCATACTTTAGTACTATTTTTTTCATCAGTATATTATTGTTCGATTTTTTTAGCGGAATCATTGAAGCATTCAAGAACTTCAGTGATTTGTTGTTTGATATTTTAATACTTATAGATTTAAATTTGTTTTTAGAGAGAGAAATATAAATTAATGCTTCAAAAAAGTTGTTTTTATTCGAATTGATGTTGTAGACTTCAAGTTCTGTAAAATCAAGAGTCAACAATTTTTAATGTATACATTTTATAAACATATGTAAAGATTCAAAGTTCACAATAAAAACGTAATCTAAGATGAACTAATTTAAAAACTAAAAAAATAACTTTTCCATGTTTCTGTGCANATATATATATATATATATAACCCATGTACTAAAAATCAAAGTTAATGGAGAAAAGGTGCTTATTCGGTTAGGGAAACCGTAAAAAATCGCAATACGCAGATGACGTTTAATTAATTTTGGTAATAAGTTCTTCTGATATAATAAAAATGGTTGCAATTACTACTACAAACTTTTTGTACAACCAGAAAAAAATAGTGGTAGCAATAGTGGTTCTCCTGTGGTGGCAATGATAGTGTATTATATATTTAAAGAATTCCCAATAAAAGAATTTTTTTTCACCACTACTAATAAATAATTTAAACAGTATATTAAAGATCAGGGAATGGGTCCTTAACAAAATCTTGCAAGAATTCTATTCATTTTTAAAGTTTTTATTAGTCTTATAAAAAGTTTATTTGCTTTTGAAATTTTAGTTTTAGTCCGCTACACTAGAAAAAATAACTGAAAATTTCACAGAAAAAATACTCAAACGCTACAAATTTTTATTTTTTTACTTACTTCTTTGCATTAAAGCTGTTTTTGATAAATAAAAAAAATCTCTGCTTTTTATCATAATCATAAAAGAAATTGTGTCTTGCAGCTGAATAGTTTTAGACACAAATAATTTTTACATAAGTTATTATGAATAATGATATCATGCATTTTGGATTAGAGCGGTAGTTTTATTTTTCAAGAAATAGTTGCAAATCTTTCTTTTTCATGGAAACGTATTAAACTTTTAGCATATGAAGGGGCAGCTTAGAAATTATTTTTTTTAAACTTGCACAATGAAACCGAGACTTTAGAATCCAGATTTAGATTTGCAACGCGAATCCATAACTTAGAAATTTATATTTTCATTCTAAATATTTATATTTGAAATGTTATAATTAGGAACGGCTTAAACTTGATACAAAACTTAATTGTTTTGATTATATTCATTTGGTTATATTTATAAACTATGTTCATAAAGTTTTATTGTTATGGTTTAAAAATATAAAAATTTTATATTATACATTAGCGTTATATTGGAGCCTATTATATGAGCTTTTTGAAGTTGAAAAATGTAAGAGGGTAATACTTTTTCGAACTATTAAAACTCTTTTGCAAGTTTCTTTGCACTTGAATGAATAAAGCATTATATTAAATGCCTTCTAGAAACTGTAATTAGTCAACTGTGTAATATCTTCCAGACAGTCAATTAATATAAGTCACGCTATGAGAAACATTTAAAAGCTAT